TCTCTCTCTCTCTCTCTCTCTCTCTCTCTCTCTCTCTCTCTCTCTCTCTCTCTCTCTCTCTCTCTCTCTCTCTCTCTCTCTCTCTCTCTCTCTCTCTCTCTCTCTCTCTCTCTTCTCTCTCTCTCTCTCTCTCTCGCCTCTTCTCTCTCTCTCTTCTCTCTCTCTCTCTCTCTCTCTCTCTCTCTCTCTCTCTCTCTCTCTCCCCTCCTCTCCTCCCTCCCTCCCTCCCTCCCTCTCTCTCTCTCTCTCTCTCTCTCTCTCTCTCTCTCTCTCTCTCTCTCTCTCTCTCTCTCTCTCTCTCTCTCTCTCTCTCTCTCTCTCTCTCTCTCTCTCTCTCTCTCTCTCTCTCTCTCTCTCTCTCTCTCTCTCTCTCTCTATATATATATATATATATATATATATATATATATATATATATATATAAGAGAGAGGGAGAGAGAGAAAGGGAAGAGAAAAGAAAGAAGTTAACAGCCCTCATAACCGCCGGCGCTATCGAGCAACAACACCAATATTCTGAAACACAAATAACATCCCAAGACATTTTTGCTCCTTTCTCTCGGCGCTCCGTGAATCGCAGTGCACAACGGAGTCTGAAACTTTCTCAATATACCCCGCAGCTGCAGAGACCCCCCCCCACCCCCCGACTATGATGTGCGCAGCTGCAATCGCTTTTAAATACTAATTGAAAAGCGATACATCCATTTTGTTCTTAGTGTATGCAGACCTGTTCGGCACGAGATGAGATACTGAAGTTCATTTCAGGAGGATCTTGTGCCTGGCCATGTTATTTTGCCCGGTTGATTGCGTCCACCATAAGTGCTTCGGTGGCCATCAAACTCGGCAAATATTTATCGACACTTCAGCCGCTGTGGTATCTTGGCTGACGGTGGTACTTTCAGTTGACTCTCGATCAGAAATGCGTTATCGAGTTTCTGATTGAATGGGGGCATCTATTTTTGGTGTTTTATTTTGGATTTTCGACTTTGGGTTAGATATTTCGGAAGGATTGTTGCACTGGATATATATTTTTTTCTATATTTTGATCTGATGGGTACTGTTGCACTGGTTGAAATGTAATTTTTATTTTGAAATGGCTTTTTGAATACTGGATAGATTGGGTTTAAATATTTCATTTTTATTCTCGGTTTTAGATTACGTATTTCGAAAGATTTGCATATAAGTATTTCATATTGCATGCCCTACCCTCTGCCATGTAATAATGCACTGGTTTTGTTTCGAAATACCATGCAGTTCAGATTACCTTTCCGATATATATTACAACACCGTCATGTCGATATAGATACATGCTATAAGAAGCATCAAGATTATCATAACAAAGTGACAATAATGGAACATCATGCAAAAATATGAAATATCATCGTGAGCATCTTTACAATATTTATCAAACTATTTTTGCATGATCAGCAAATTCTTTGTGAACACCTGGCAATACCTCAGCTAAAGACACCTATAAGAGGGAAAAGTATTACGCAAAATGAGTTATGTTGTGTATTTTGTATGTTTGTTAAGTGAATTTATTCGTGTTAGAAAAATGCCGTTCGCAAAATAATCTATGGATTTAGTGTATGATGTTATTTTCTGTCATGTTATGATCAGTTTAGAGCGTTCAGCCCTTCACATGTGTAAAAAAAAAAAAAAAAAGCAATTATAGATACGATGAATTATATAATTATTATTATCACTGTTCATGTCCCTACACCTATCGCTGCCAAATGGACTGAACTTATTTATTTCTATTGTTATTTTGTGAACACTTTTTTTCCGTTTTTTATCTAATGTTTTATTTCTCTTACTGTTTTTTTTTCTGATATTTGATTAAGAAGTTAGCGCTTTGCCCTGTACCTTATCGATGAACACATGACACAAAAGAACTGAACACATTTCTTTTATTACGATACACTGTCATTTTTTCGTTTTATCTCCTGTTTTATTATTTATTTACTTTTTTTTTTTTTTTACTATTCTCTGGTATCTGATCAAGAACTTAGTGTTTTTCCCTGTCCCTTATCCATGAACACATGACACAAAAGAACTGAACAGATTTATTTTTATTGTTACGTTACACACGTCTATTTGTTATCGTTTTATCTCCTGTTAAATGTTTAACTGTTCATCTCTGGTATTTTTACTATTCTCTGGTATCTGATCAAGAACTTAGTGTTTTTCCCTGCCCCTTATCCATGAACACATGACACAAAGGAATTGAACAGATTTGTTTCTATTATTTCGATACACTGCTATATTGTATCGTTTTATCTCCTCTGCTTTATTTTTTACTGTTCTTCTCTGGTATTTGATCAAGAACTTAGTGTTATTCCCTGTCCCTTATCCATGAACACATGACACAAAAGAACTGAACAGATTTATTTCTATCAATACGTTACATACGTCTATTTTTTATCTTTTTATCTCCTGTTTTATTTCAACTGTTCTTCTCTGGTATTTGATCAAGAACTTAGTGTTATTCCCTGTCCCTTATTCGTGAACACATGACACAAAAGAACTGAACAGATTTATTTCTATCAATACGTTACATACGTCTATTTTTTATCTTTGTATCTCCTGTTTTATTTCAACTGTTCTTCTCTGGCATTTGATCAAGAACTTAGTGTTATTCCCTGTCCCTTATTCGTGAACACATGACACAAAAGAACTGAACAGATTTATTTCTATCAATACGTTACATACGTCTATTTTTTATCTTTTTATCTCCTGTTTTATTTCAACTGTTCTTCTCTGGCATTTGATCAAGAACTTAGTGTTATTCCCTGTCCCTTATTCGTGAACACATGACACAAAGGAACTGAAAAGATTTGTTTCTATTATTTCGATACACTGTTATATTGTATCGTTTTATCTCCTCTGTGTTATTCCCTGTCCCTTATTCGTGAACACATGACACAAAAATTTATTTGTTAGTGTCTTCTATGCTGCTACAATTGGCCCATGCACAAGAACTGTTCTTCTCCGGTATTTGATCAAAAACTTAGTGTTATTCCCTGTCCCTTATTCGTGAACACATGACACAAATATGCCCATGGCACAGATCGGGCCCAGCAGACACATATCTGCCCGGGCACACGTGTTCAACTTAGTGTCCGCACATATGATTTAAAACCAGACATGCTCGGCCAAGTGGTTGTTCGTGTTGGTTGTAAAGTTCTCTTTTACGAGATAAAGAGTTCAGCGTTTTGGGTGTATCAGGATAGGCCGGAGAATGTGGATGTATTTTATAACTCGTGGGATTTATTTTTCCTGGTCTCTGCTGTATCCTGCAGCTGTGACGTGTGTTGTTGATTTTTTTTTTGTGGTTTATTTCATATTTCAGAATTCAAAATCAGCCATTTCTGTTGTGTCAGGATAGGTCGAATAATGTGATTATTTTTTTATAACTTATGCTATTTATTTTCTCTGCTTTCAGTTATATCCTGCAGCTCACGTGTATTAGTGATCAATGTTTTGTATTATTTCACATTTCAAAAATATATATATATATATATATATATATATATATATATATATATTATGTATATATGTATGTGTGTGTGTGTGTGTATGTGTGTGGATAATTAACAATAATCAAAATGAAGATAATAAAAGTCGATTTCATTTATTAATCAAATTTCGACCCAAGCCTGACGAAACTTCACAGAGACTTGAATGCTTTCCTAATGATGCCATTAGTATAATTGACATCATTTCTTACTCTCACTATTTTCCCCAACGAGGCCAGCACAAAAATAAATCCCTCTTTGCTATCATTTACCCTGCGTGCATAGACAGCATGTTTCCCCCACCAAAAAATGACGATAATAGTGTGAATAATAGCAAGAAAAAATAGTTTAGAATGGGAGCATCAGTTCATCCCACAAAACGGAGTGAAAATGAGGTCAGGTTGTCTGCCCTGTCACCTCTAACACACCTCGAACCTAACACATACTGGTGGTACTTCTTATGTTTCAAAAAATGCTTTCTCTAAATTCGCGATATTCCCTTGTTTCGATTTTCTTTTTTAGATAGCTATGGATAAAGTAATGTAATGCTTGTTTTTTCTTTGTTTTGTTTTTTGTTCGAGCAGAAGAATTCAAAGGGTAAAACTATTCACAAGACATGTCTCAACTCGAGTTTACATCAGTAAACTTACAAATTTATCTTTTAAAGATGCCTAACATGCTTGTACCATTACAATAACGGAATGGAAAAATAAATGCCCATCTTCAGACACCGACGCGGAGGTGGGTGTTCCCATACCCATTGTGACCAACATGAGGTATGGGTACAAAGCCCAGTTGCTGACGAGTGTTTTTTACATCTTACAAAACGTAATTTTTTCTGGGATTCGACACTTCTCTAAGGCCAGATTTGCGATCATCATGTAAATGTAGAACCTTAGTCATATTTAGATTTGCGTTTTGGATATGATCCTACCATGGATAACGTTCCTCTCTCAAATCCCTCTGAAAAATCAGGTAACGAAGCGCCGGCTCGTGGGGAAAATGACCTCAGGCAGTTGAGCCTCTTGGGTGAGGGCAGTTACTTATTCCCATTTTTTGCTGACTTTATTTCCCACCAGAAACCAAAGTTCTGCTTTCGTATGTCGTTCTTTTGATGGATAAATAAAGGTGTTAGGAGGAAAAATATTGTTTGATTGGAAGTAAGATATCGTATTGGTGATATCGAAGGAATCCATCCTAATTTAAGAAATTAAATTCAGGATGATCTTTCAGGCCCATGTCAAATGACTCCTGCCAGATGTACGAAAAACAAAAATCCGCATTTTTCAATAATCCGTAATTAATTGATAAGATTACTGATGATTTTATACACATATGACATCATGCACCATAAATAAGATAGCATCATAAACTGATAGGACACAATAAAGCGTTTATTTCAATGTATAAGGAATCAGTCAGCGCGTACGACAACCGGCCAAGGAACCTCCGGCATCGCGGTTGAGCGCTAGTCTCAATTTTTCCTAAGGTGTTAGTCGTCTCCTGCCATCCGCTGTTTGAGCACCATGATGCTGCGTTTGTCAGCTGGAGATTTGTGACATGAACATCTTTTTTTATGAGTTGAAGGGTGCATTAGACAGTGATTAGAGTGTTCTTGTTTGACTTGTGGAGTGAACGAGTCTGTCATGTGGAGAATTGATGTTGATTCTGTTTTGGAAACTGGCGGGCACGTGATTAATTGCTGAGTGAATTGACTCGTGATTTATTGTGTTTACAAAGAATTAATGACGTGAGCATCTGGCCTGATTTAAATAAGGACTTTTATCGACAACTTGACACTCTTGATATTATAAATTATAGTGAGAAAATTAATCATTACTCAAGAGTCTTTGTTTATCGTGCCATTAGCAAATCGTGACTGGATTCCTGCGCCGTTTCGAAATGTCAGCTCCTCACAGCTCGAAGTGACGAGTCGAAGGCTAAGCACCGACGCTCGTGCCATGAAACGGGCTCCTCGAGGGTGATGTGCGACGCCCAGGGGATGCCCCAGACCGTGTGAAGGCGCGGCGTGTGAAAGTCTCCCGAAGGACCTCGTCTCGACAAGCATCTCAGCGCCCGCGCAGGACCGACGCCGCGAAGATGGGCGAGGTGGCCGAGGAGAGCTTCGACAACTACGGCAACAACCGCATGAAGACGGTGGTGGACAGAGTCAACCGAAATGCGAGGTGCCGCTGCTGCCTGTGGATGGTGGCGCTGTGGTGCGCGGCCACGGTGATCTTCATGCTGGCGGGATACGACCGGGTGGTGCACTCGGTGGCCGTCGACCAAATGGTGCTGAAGCAGGGCAGCCAGAAGTACGAGGCGTGGGTGGACACGCCCGTGCCCGTCTACTACAAGGTGTTCGTCTTCAACCTGACGAACCCCGAGCAGTTCATGGCGGGAGGGCGGCCGCGGGTGCAGGAGCGCGGGCCCTACGTCTACCTCCTGAAGGAGTCGAAGGAGGAGGTCAAGTTCCACAAGAACGGGTCGGTGACGTACCGGACGCGGCCGCTGTACTTCTTCCAGCGGGACATGTCCGCCGGCTCGGAGGACGACGTCATCATCTCCGTCAACATCCCCTTCGTCAACGCCGCCGACGCCGTCAAGGACCAGGGCTTCCTGCGCATGGTCATCCAGATCGCCAAGAAGATCCACGGCTTCGAGACCCTGCGGAAGCTGACGGTGGGCGAGCTCCTGTGGGGCTACAAGTCGCGCGTGATCGACTGGGCGCGGACGCTGCAGGAGCTGCCGTACCCGCACCAGCTGTTCGGCCTGCTGGTGGGCTTCAACGACTCCATGCAGGAGCCGTACACGATGCACACGGGCAAGGGCGACGCGGCCAAGATGAACCAGATCATCGCGTGGAACGGCCGCGAGCGCCTCGACTTCTGGAGCGGCGAGCGATGCAACGAGATCCGCGGCACCGACGCCAACGGCTTCGCGCCCGGAGTCAGCAAGCAGGACACGCTCTACATCTTCAACGGGCAGCTGTGCCGGGCGATCCCCCTCGTCTACAACGACACCGTCATCCAGTCGGGCATCGCCGCCTTCCGCTTCGTGCCGCCCGACGACGTCTTCTCCTACGGCAAGGCCAACCCGCACAACAACTGCTACTGCAGCGGCGGCGGATGCCCGCCCGCAGGCATCCTGGACATGAAGCCGTGCTACTGGGGCGCCTCCGTCGGCTTCTCCTTCCCGCACTTCTACAAGGCGGACCCCAAGCTGAGGCACATCGTCCGTGGGCTCAGGTAAGGACAGCGGTTATGCTGGTACGCCTGTTATTAGTAATATAATCAGTAGTTTTTACCCAGGGTGTGTTTAGATGTAAACCGGAAAGCTGGTTTACTTGTCTTACTGTCTTTGTCACGAGTCTGGGAAATTCACATGTCTTATTCGATCATGGGTTATTTTTCATCAGTAATACTTTCTTTACGTGAAAACAAAACATAACAATATCCCAATATTCCGCAATTATGATAAACGATAATAAAAAAATAAATAAATACCCATAATGCACAATCGCAAATTCAACCGCGTCGCCAGAGCACAGTCAGCCAAGCAAGCGTTCCGGCCATACCTGAAAATCCCGTCCCAGGGGTAGGTCGACCGCCCGCCGAGTTGCACCTCCGCCCTCGCCCCTTTCCGTGGGAGCGAAGGTGCCGCCCAATAACCCGCCCGTGCACTTAATCCCGGGTCCTCATTCGCTGACCTCCCCCCTTACAGTGATCTTAAGGGGTTATCGGCGCGGCGAGACATCGGAAGTCGCGTTTCAAGGGGCGCGGGAGGTAAGGGGCGGCCTGGGCGATCCATTCATGGCGAGGGCGACCCCAGGTTCAAGTGGCGGATGATGGAAGAGGCTGAAGGGGAGGGCGAGGTGGTCAGGCAGGTCCTCGGCTCGGACGGACGGAGGATGGCGGTGGTCAGGCGCTGCGGCCACTTTCCCCGAGGACGCAGGTGTAGGGGGGCGAGTCGGCGGGGTCCCCACACTCTGTCAGGGTGGTTAATGGACGTATGGCGGGTGGGTGGATGTGGGGGGGGAGCTGAGGGAAAGGAAAAGGGGGGCGCGTGGACGGAGAAGGTAGGCTTAATCCAGAGTGTTGTCGACATAATTCCCTTGCGTAACCGAGACTCGATGTGTACGCGGAAAACTGAAAGCGATCAGCAGCCGTTTCCGAGCTTGTCAAGGGGTAGATCCTCGAGCGAAATTTGCATATGAATAAGTGGGAATCTTTACCTCGCGCGACATTTCAGCTCTCACCCCCCTTCGGCTCGGATGAATGGCCGGCTCGGTGTCAATACGGCAAGGCAGCGCAGACGGAGCAGCGGTGCGTGTGGGTTTTTCTTACGGGCGTATCCTCTCCTTTCTCGGCGTTGGGAAGGCGTGGGAAACGGGGCCTGGACGTCTTCGTGTGGATAATGGCATGTTTAAAGCTCCTTTTTTCATTTGACATTAAAGAGGCATTATAGCGTCACTGGAAGTAATACGCCATCGATTAGATTGCGTTTCATTAGACGAATTAAGTGATTAACCCCTGTAAAGCGTATTGAAGCGTGCGTTACATATTATAGAGAATAGACTGTTATGCAATAGTTTTAGTTATATAGATTATACTACACTTTGGTCAAATGAAAACAAAATATCATAAATATATAAACAAAGAAAGTAATTCACATGAACCCGAGCCTGTTCACCCATGACGTTAAAACCACAGTTGGCCGGACATAACACTATACACACATGTAGGTCCCTTGTCAGAAAATCGGTGACGGGCCGACGGACTGACAGGCTGAGAACCGTCAAGTGTGTCGCAAAAACGTCTTTTAATCTCATGACCACAATTTCTCCAAACGTCTAGAGTGTAGACGGTGGGTGTGGGTTCCAAGTGTGTCGCAAAAAAACGTCTTTTAATCCCATGACCAGAGTTTCTCCAGACGTTTAGGCGGTGGGTGTGGGGTTCCAATCGTCTCAATTGAGGGCGCGGAGAGATAATGAGTTCTTCAATAATGTCATACCGAAAAAAAGGAAAAAATCAGAGTAAACAACAAGTGGGAAAACCAATTACGTAAGAAATAACCGCACATCGTTTACCATCGCAAGGGAGAGGTCCTTCAGAAGACGGAGAGGGACAGGTGATAGAAGCCTAATAAGTGGCTTGCTGTAAATCGCCCCTGTCCGGTTCTCAGCACCTGTTGTCACCCGATAAGATTTCAAGCTGATATCCGTGACCTGTGTTTGATAACGGAGGACGTAACTGCGGTCGAGTCAAATGCGACGCCAAAATATGAAAGTGAGAAGATGAAAAGAAAACAAAAAAAAGTTGCAGGTTTTATCTCAGAAAACCCACAAGATTTTAGTTTTTTTCTCTTTTTTTTCTTGTTCTTATTCTCTTTTTCCCTTTTCTTTTCTTTTTGTTTTACTTTTCCCTTTTCTCTTTCTTTTACAGTTTTCTCTTTCTTTTAACCTTTTTTCGTATTACATCTATCCACTTTTCCCACCTTTTTATCTTACTTTTTTTCCTTTTTTCCTTCTTTCTAATGACGTGTAAGTAAGAGGTAAGTAAGAGGATCCGCAGAGGAGTGAAGCAACGTCTTGCCCGGAGCTGGGTTAGGAAAGCGCAAGAGCCGGTGTCTTGGGGTCACGTCAAAGCCCTTGAGGAGAGGCACTGAGGCACCGGCTGTCCTTACCTTCAGGAGGCCGGGAGGAGGAGGCAGAGGGAAGAAGGAGGAGGAGGAGGATGGGGAAGAGGAAGTGGAGGTGGATTGTGGAAAGAGGAAAGAGGGAGGAGAGGAAAGAGGAGGTAGGGAGGAAGTGGAGGTTCATCGTGGGAAAAGGAAGAGGAAGGGGGGAGAGAGGAAGAAGATAAAGAGGAGGGGGAGCGGAAGAAGAAAGAAGGAAAGAAGAGAGAATAATAAATGATGATAATAATAATTATAATATAAGAATAGGGAAGAAGGGTAGATAGATTAGAAGATTATGAAGATTAAGAAGAGAAGGAGGGGAGAAAGAGGAAGACGAAGTTTGGCAAAGGAGACGTTAACAGGGATAGCGAATACACCGTATTAATTATAAACATAATTTCTACGATTACTAAAAAAACATATAAATACAGCAAAAGAAATCCTCAGCAAAGCCACACAAATCACGGGCATACTTATTTACTCTAAAAGTGTAGATATGTTGCAGCTTGCGGGTTTAAGTTCTTGATGACTGATGACATGCGGTCGCCATCGAAGACTAAAAAAAATTGCCAATATCCATGCAACCTTTAGCCGCCAAGGTAACTTTCGGGAGGTCTATAAACCGAGATTGCAAAATGCTCCAGTTTCTGAGGTTTATACACTCTACCAATTTCTAAAGCTATCTGATAGTCGAGCTTTCTTAAACACAGAAAAAGTCCTAATTTCTTTTTAAGGTTATAGAATGTTCCTATTTCTTAAATTTGTTGAATGTCCCAGTTTATTAAGCTTGTTGAATGTCCCAATTTATTAAGCTTTTAGAATGTCCCAATTTATTAAGCTTTTGGAATGTCCCAATTTATTAAGCTTTAGAATGTCCCAATTTCTTAAAACACAGAGCATCCCGATTGTTTAAGCTCACGTAATTCCTAAATTTGGAAAGCATTCACAGCATCCCAGTTCCTTATGCTGACAGAATGCCCCAGTAAAAAAAAAAAAAAAAAAAAAATGCCCCAGTAAAAAAAAGAAAAATACAAAACCCCAATTTTCCAAGCCCACAGAATGCCCCAATTTCGAATCATTCTCAAACAGTTCACAGAAGTCTTCAAGTCACGCCAATTCCCCGGGCGAGACGGCCTTGGGGATGGTGGAGGGGCGGGGGAGAGGGAAGAGGGGGAGGGGGGGGTAAAATTTACGAGTTTACGAGTGTTTGTGCATGAGGAATTGGGGGTGGAAGGGGGGAGAAGGAGGGTAGGAGGATAGCAGGGGGAGAGGGTTGAGAAAATGAGGGAGGCGGTGGAGGGAGGGGGGAAAGAGTGAACGGAGGGGCAGAAGGAGGGAGAAGGGGGAAGGAAAAGGGGAGAGGGAGAGAGGGAGGAGGATGGAAGGGGTATGGTAGGGGAGAGCGAGACAAGAGACAGAGGGGGAGGAACGGTTGGGAAGGAGAGAGAGAGAGACAGAGAGGGGAAAGAGGAGGAGGAGGGGAGAGAGAGGAAGGAGGAAGGAGGATCCCCACGTGCCCAGTGTTGACCCAAGTGCGCCGGGTATGAGTTAGGTTTTGTTGCTGATATGATCTTGTTAAAAGCTTCAGTCAACAATGTCATAAGGCCTTCAATTGTGCGGGTAAATGTTTGGCCGGGAGGAACAAGCCGATACTCAGATAACAGGCGCGGGTTTCCGACTGGCGGAGGAGGAGGGGAGGGAGAGAGAAGGAGGAGAGGAGAGGAGACAGATGGATGTTTTTTTTTCTGCGTAAATCTTGGTGATATATGTATGTATGTATGTATATATATATATATATATATATATATATATATATATATATATATATATATATATATGTGTGGTGTTTGTGTGTGTGGTGTGTGTGTGTGTGTGTGTGTGTGTGTGTGTGTGTGTGTTGTATGTATGTATGTAATGTATGTATGTATGTATGTACGTATACGTACGTACATACATACATACATACATACATACATACATACATACATACATACACACACACACACACACACACACACACACACACACACACACACACACACACACGCACACACACACACACACACACACACACACACACACACACACACACACACACACACACACACACACACACACACACACACACACACACACACACACACGCACGCACGCACGACGCACGCACAGAGAAGAGAGAGAGAGAGAGAGAGAGAGAAGAGAGAGAGAGAAGAGAGAGAGAGAGAGAGAGAGAGAGAGAGAGAGAGAGAGAGAGAGAACATAGGAAACCACACACGCAGATCGCTCCCAATGTTATATTTAATTTTGGGGAATAACTTTCTGTTCCGCTCGCCTAAGGTTAGCCTGGCTGTCTTGCGGTGTCCTGTCCTTCAAATAGCTTTACGCCTTACTTATACCTTCTGTTTTTTAAGATACTGAGACTTAGATATATCGTTTATGATCTGTATTGTTGCTAGTTGTAAGATAATCGTTTTTCTCGATTTAATAAACGTGATACGTGTTGAGGTATTAGCGTGATCCGTCTTATCAGAATATTTTTCTTAATAAAAGTCAACAAGGTGGATAAATC